CTCTCCTTCCCCCGCCCCAGTGATTTTCAGACTCTCTCGGCCGGCCAGGCAGCTGCAGTTCTGAGATAGGAACTGCCGCAAGCTCTAGCAGAGGTCCGGAGAACTAGGCTCCAGGCCCTGAGTCCTACTCATCTGCGGGTTCTCTCTGCTCCGTCGGAAGCACCGTGCACTCAGCGTGCAGCCGCCGTCATAAAAGCAAACAGAATGTTTGGAATCTTTAAAAAAGGGATAGAGAATAAGACAGAGATTATCGTATTGCCTCTCTAAAACCATGGGGCGCCCACATCTTGAATACGGCGTACAGATGTGGTCACCTCATTTCAAAAACGACATTTTGGCATTGGAAAAGGTTCAGAAAAGGGCAACAAAAATGATTAGAGGTTTGGAATGGGTCCCATAGGAAGAGAGATGAAAAAGACTGGGACTTTTCAGCTTAGAAGGGGGGATGGGATAGAGGTCTATAAAATCATGACTGAATAAGGAAAAATTATTTACTTATTCCCACAATATAAGAACTAGGGGTCACCCAATGAAATTAATAGGCAGCCATTTAAAACAACCAAAAGGAAGTTTTTTTCCCCCACTCAGCACATAGTTAACCTGTGGAACTCCTTGCCAGAGGATGCTGTGAAGACTAGGACTTTAACAGGGTTCTAAAAAGAGCTAGATAGATTCATGGTCCATCAATGGCTATTAGCTAGGTTGGTAGGAATGGTGTCCCTAGCCTCTGTTGGTCTGGAAATGGATGTCAGGAGAGGGATCTAGAGCCACCCAATATGGACATTCTTATGCATGCTCGGCAATCCTTCAGCTGGTAAATTGGGATGTGTAACAACCAATTGCTGGGGCAGCCCGTGAGCATAGGCAGACTCGGCGGTCGCCTAGGGCGCCACCGGCCTGGGGCACCCGATGATGCCGTCATGGCCATTGACGGCCGTGCAGGCGGGGGTGCTGATCGCGCCTTCCACCTGGGGCGCCAGCTGCTGCAGCTGCTAAACTCACAGCCGGCAATAATGCTGGTGTTTCAGTGACCAAGAAAGGGGTTACCTCGAAGGCTGTTCTATTGGGAAGAGACCAAGAAGCCACCTGGCTTTTCAGGTGCTCCTAGCAACGGATCACATATCAAAGGGCTGCATGGAGAGGGTTTTGAATACCGTCAAATCACTGAGCATTAATTCACCAGGCTTGTCTGCATTCACTTCTCTCGCTGGCAGGGCCAGCAAAATTTGAAGCCTCTCTCACATCAGTCCTTGCAGGCTTTGGCTGCATCTCTCCACGGAGCCACTGCCCCAGCTGACAGCCTATGGGTCACCAGTACTCAGGGGCCCATAGGTGGATCTCCGTGGGAGGGGGGGATGATAAAAATCGACTTTGTTTCTCTAATCCCAGAGTAAAACACCCTCCAGGAAGCCACCCTGGGCTCTCTGCAGGGAGTAAGATAAAACCCACCCTTGCTGCCACCAGCCCCATCTCTAGCACAGTCACTGGGACGGGGCGGAGTTTTCTCATCGAGACCCTGCTCATCTCACCTCGTGCATGAGACCTTTGCCTGCCCCGGCGGAGCAGACTGACAGTCACGCCAGAGGCAGGGCCCTGCAAGTCCACGATGCAGCAGCCTGCTCCGGAGCAGAGTTGCTGCTGTTGGACAGGATGGCTCAGCTGCCTGCGTGGATTCTGTTTATCTGCTGAGTAGATTCAGCACACGCTGCAGCAGGGCAGCTTCCTTGCGCTGGCCTGCCCGTCCACAGCGATTAGCCCTGCAGCCCATCCATGGCGACTCGGGGGTGAAATGGGAGTTCAGTTTCCATGGCTTGTGGTCACAGAGACTTTGTGCCTGGCATTAGGGCATGGTGCCCCTTAGAGCTGCCATCAGGTGCTGTGTGCCCGGGGCCGAGGGCCACATGGTGCCCCTTAGAGCTGCCATCAGGCGCTGTGTGCCTGGGGCCGAGGGCCACATGGTGCCCCTTAGAGCTGCCATCAGGTGCTGTGTGCCCGGGGCCGAGGGCCACATGGTGCCCCTTAGAGCTGCCATCAGGCGCTGTGTGCCTGGGGCCGAGGGCCACATGGTGCCCCTTAGAGCTGCCATCAGGTGCTGTGTGCCCGGGGCCGAGGGCCACATGGTGCCCCTTAGAGCTGCCATCAGGCGCTGTGTGCCTGGGGCCGAGGGCCACATGGTGCCCCTTAGAGCTGCCATCAGGTGCTGTGTGCCCGGGGCCGAGGGCCACATGGTGCCCCTTAGAGCTGCCATCAGGCGCTGTGTGCCTGGGGCCGAGGGCCACATGGTGCCCCTTAGAGCTGCCATCAGGCGCTGCGTGCCCGATTGCAGCAGTAAGGTGCGCAGCATGCTGGAGGGCAGGGCCACGCATACACCGTGTGCCCGGGGGTGGAGCTGCGCATGCGTTGCGCACCCGCTGCCCGGGGCACAGGAATGGCTCGAGCCGGCCCTGCCTTGCATGCTGAGGTTGGGTGAATCTGCTGTGAACTGACTGGCTGGGCACTCCCTGTCCTGGGCACTAGAAGTCCCCTAGTGTGCATTCACCTACTCCTGTGTCAAGCATAAAAATGGCCACACTGGGTCAGACCAAAGATCCATCCAGCCCCGTATCCTGTCTGCCGACAGTAGCCAATGCCAGGTGCCCCAGAGGGAGTGAACAGAACAGGGAATCATCAAGTGAGCCATCCTGTCGCCCATTCCCAGCTGTCCTCCATGAATTTCTCTAGCTCTTTTTGGAACCCTGTTAAAATCCTGGTCTTCACAATATCCTCTGGCAAGGAGTTCCACAGGTTGACTGTGCGTCGTGTGAAGAAATACTTCCTTTTGTTTTTAAATCTGCTACCTATTAATTTCACATAGTGACTTCTTGTCCTTGTGTTCTGGGAAGGAGTAGATAAGTCTTCTTTTTTCATTTTTTCCACTCTAGTGATGATTTTGTAGTTTTCTATCATACCCCCTCTTTTTCCAAGCTGGAAACTCCCAGTTTTATTAATTTCTCCTCATATGGCAGCCATTCCATACCCCTAATCATTTTTGTTGCACTTTTCTGAACTTTTTCCAATGCCAAAATACATTTTCTGAGATGAGGCGACCACATCTGCACGCAGTATACAAGAGGTGGGCGTACTATGGATAAAAGAAAGTTCTTCTTCACACAGCACACAGTCAACCTGTGGAACTCCTTGCCAGAGGAGGCTGCGGAGGCTAGGACTATAATAGAGTTTAAAGAGAAGCTAGATAATTTCATGGAGGTTAGGTCCATAAAAGGCTATTAGCCAGGGGATAAAATGGTGTCCTTGGCCTCTGTCTGTCAGAGGCTGGAGAGGGATGGCAGGAGACAAATCGCTTGATCATTGTCTTCGGTCCAGTTGGCAGACAGGATACTGGGCTAAAAGGACCTTTGGTCTGACCCAGTACGGCTGTTCTTATAGCAGCAGAAAATCAAAGCCCTTTTGACCAGTGTTCCCTGGAAGTTGTGCCCTTTTGCAGCCACCTAGGAGAGAGTCAAATACTGACCAGCCGATTAGCAGAGCGCCCATGGCTAGGTTGTGTGTTTCTAGTGCCGGTGCACATTTACACATGCCTCGGTGTGCATAAAAATATATTCTGCACGTGCATGGAGAAGACAAGAGGGAACATTGCTAAGGACCTGTTAGTGCATGACAGCAGAGACAATGAAGCCAGTTATCATGAAGCGGATCCATAGTCATGCTTCTTGTGCTCTGAGTCACCATATGGACAAGCCTTCAGCCTTTGGCTTCTCTGCCAACACTGCCAAGGGGAAGCAGGCCCCCGTTAAAACAACCAGGATACGTGGGCACTTGGCAAACCTGGAACTAGGTTGAAACCCACCAAAGTCATTTCACAAAGGGGGGGGGCACTGACACTCACACTCTGTACAGAGCACTAGTGAAAGGAAAATAAACTTAAGCTGCATCCTGGCCAGGAGGAGGAGGGATGAGCGTGCAGCTGGAATATGATATTGCAAGTTTCGAGCCAGACACGCTCACTGCATATGCTCTTAGGAGCTGATTCAAAGAGAATGGCCCGGTTCCCCCCCGGTTCTCCAATGGTCCTCGAGCATGAAAGGAAGTTTCAGCCAAGCTGTAATTGGTGGAGTTGGTTTCTAATGCTGCAGAATTCAAATCAGAAGCCGAGACAGTCTGCCCAGTGAGACGCGGTCCTCTCTCGGCACAGAAATGCGCTGAGCTGCAGGCACAAAGCCACCTTCTGTACCCCTTAACTGATCATTTTTTTAAAAGGGTACTTTATATAAAAAAAAAAAAGATTGAGAAACACTGGTCTAGGACACGACTGCCCCTCTGATACTTGACACCATACAAGGCACTTCATTTAGCCGTATGGAGTGGAGATCTATAATTTTCTACTATATGCATCTGACGAAGTGGGTCTTTGCCCATGAAAGCTTATGCTCCAATACATCTGTTAGTCTATAAGGTGCCACAGGATTCCTTGTCAGATCCAGACTAACACGACTACCCCTCTGATACTTGGTCTAGGACAGTGTGTCTCAACTGTTTTTTATAAAGTACCCCTTACAATTTTTTTTAAAGTACCCCCAGTACCTACAGTTTTCAGACACATAATTTTTTTTCCCCCGTCACAGCACATTTGTTTAAACAACTTAATCGTAGCCGGGTGGGCAATGACATTTTTGGGTGTAAAAAGTACAAAAATAATAAAACACTCTAAAAAATTCAGTTTTTTCCATATTTCAGTTGTGTTGACGTTCCCCCCAGACTTCTCTCGAGGACCCCTAAGGGTACTCGTCCCACTGGTTGAGAAACATGGGTCTAGGAGATCAGAGAGCAAACCAGAGCCAACGACTGACACTGCTTGCATTGGCAGAGTGTGGGGAGTACGGGGAGAGCATGCTGGGAATATGCTGGAGTGGGCTCCTCAGCCCCCGGGCCCAGCAGAGCATAATAGACATGGCTAACGTCCTATAAGAGGTGAGGAACATACACTCACGACAGGTTAGTACCTGTGAGCCTTCCGTTCCTGGCTGCTGTAGGAGCTTGACGGTCCTGCCTCCCGCTGACCTTTGGCTCCGCCCATCGTGCCAGGTGAAGCTGCTGCCTGAGTTCCGCTGCAGACGGTAGTGGAGGTTTTCCGCCGACACCGTGTGCTCCAGGAGGTTCCGACAGAAGCTGAAGTGAGTGGCTGTGGCTGGGGAGGGGAATGATTCTGTGAGAAAAGCGACCATACCACATGCCCCTTCCACTGCTTCCCAGACGGCACTGCATGCTGCGGCGCAAGACACACAGGACAGAGTCCATCTCCTCCCGTCTTCTCTGCCCCCGAGGCCAAAGAATTTAGGAAGGGGGCAGAAGTGACCCCCATTAGCACAGCATGTGTTGCTTTCCCCCTCGGGTGGCTGCCCCAATAGAGGAGAACAGCCTACTACTGCTACCTGCTCTTAGCAGAAGCATGGTCAGCAAGTAAACCTCCACTGACAGCCATGCAGGAGAGAGCTGTTGCTATGGCCACACCTATGGCCAGGAGAAAGGCTTGGGCTGCATCTAGACTGGCATGATTTTGTGGAAATACTTTTAACAGAAAAGTTTTTCCCTTAAAAATATTTCCGCAAAAGAGCGTCTAGATTGGCAAGGATGCTTTTGTGCAAAAAGTGCTTTTGCGCAAAAGCATCTGTGCCAGTCTAGACGCGCTTTTGTGCAAGAAAGCTCTGATGGCCATTTTAGCCATCGGGCTTTCTTGCGCAAAAAATTAAGGTGCCTGTCTACACTGGCCCTCTTGCGCATGTGTTCTTGCACAAGAGGGCTTATCCCTGAGCGGGAGCGTGACAGTGTTTGCGCAAGAAGCACTGATTTTGTACATTACAAAGTCAGTGCTCTTGTGCAAATTCAAGCGGCCAGTGTAGACAGCTGGCAAGTTTTTGCGCAAAAGTGGCCACTTTTGCGCAAAAACTTGCCAGGAAGGGCAGGGGGTATTTCCAGTCTGAAGCAAGCGAGGCTGTTCAAAAGACAAGGAAGCTGGTCTGTGGACTGCACAGGGAGCAGGTGTAACCTGTTACCAACCCTGCCTCTTCTGAAGGAATAAGAAATCAGCCACAGTTCTCAGAGACCCACTTTGGCAGCCAGCACCCAGACCCGACAAAGCCGCAGGTTCTTAAATGCACCACCTCTCCCCCGCCCCCACGGGCACATGGGCAGCAGGAGCTCAGACCACACATCCCTGCTCCATTAGGAAAGAGGCTGGCTTTGGAACTGGGAACCAGCTGCACTCCTAGGCTGTGTCTAGACTACATGCCTCTGTCGGCAGAGACATGTAGATTAGACAGATCAGCAAAGGCAAATGAAGCCGCGATTTAAATGATCGCGGCTTCATTTACATTTACATGGCTGCCGCGCTGAGCCGACAAACAGCTGATCAGCTGTTTGTCGGCTCGCGCGCTAGTCTGGACGTTCCCCCTGTCGACATCAAAGCCCTTTGTCGGCAGCCCCGTTATTCCTCGTGGTCTAGACGTACCCCCAGAGATCAGGCTCTCCATTGTGCACAGGGCTGTAGTCGGCGCGGGAGCGTCCAGACTAGCGCCCTGAGCTGACAAACAGCTGATCAGCAGTTTGTCGGCTCAGCGCGGCAGCCATGTAAATGTAAATGAAGCCGCGATCATTTAAATCGCAGCTTCATTTACCTTTGCTGAACAAACAAATCTACATGCCTCTGCCGACAGAGGCATGTAGTGTAGACGTACCCCTAAGGCCTTCTACTGGAATGGTGCCTAGCCTAGGGTTGACCAACTAGATCCCCTATGCCTGAAACTGCCACACACAGGCGGCAGGATTAAATTTAGAGCCCCAGCCAATTAAGGCCAATTGGAGGGGAGTTTGCCCCAGGCAGCCATGCGATGAGCTCGGACCTGTTAACCCTTCACAGGCTGCAGTGCCTTAAACTTGTGGCGCTGGCCTTCAGGTCCACGGGCCCCCCATGCTGTGATGGTTGAGTAATGAGTTGCCTCCCTTGTCAATCGTAGGGGGAAGTGGTGGGAGGAGCTCTGAGTGTGCCTGGGACCCTCCAGTCCTGGCGTGAGCTTCAGGCTGGCCTGGCCTGCCCCACCCATACAGCTCTCCTGCATGAGGAGGGGATGGCGTGCCTCTTTGCCAACTGAATCCCTTAAACTGTCTTCCTGGCCCCGAAGAAATGCCAGGAAGAAGCCCAAATGCCAGGGCTTGCCATGGGGCAGGCACAGGGTCTTGGCCCATTGCTGCACAATCCTGGCTCGTTTTCCAAAGGTATTGTAGCACCAATGATGCTGAAGAGACAAAATGTCCTATGGGGCCGCATGCTGGGAGACTGAGCCGTGGAAGCCACACGCCAGTTCCAAGGGGCAGGAAGCAGAAATAGTTGGACAGGAAGGCGTGTGTGTGTGTGTGTGTGTCACACACGCACAACAGCCGTACACCTCTGCTCCTGGGTCTGTATAGCTAGAGGTCCCATGCAGAATGCTATGACCAGGCCCTTGTTCCCTAGGGACCTGAGGTGGCTGTGGCCCTGGCAGGTACAACAGGACAGGCCTGAGCGTGCGCCTGTGTTGTGTGGCTGTCACGAGAGATGGGGCTGCTGCCTCCTGCCACCCCGCATCTGGAAAACCATCCTATCCGGCTTGGAGGACTGCCGTTACCATGGCAATAGAGTGTGACCTGAGGAGCAGTGGGGCTGCACTGTGGGTATTCCCAGCTCTACCCCAGCCCTGCGGACTCCCTGCTCCCAATCCCTCAGTGTCGGCCCCCGGACTCCTCCCTTCTCAGAGCCCAGTTTTCCTTCCCAGATCCGGTGGAGGAAGCTGTGCGGAGGTTTCCATACCAGTGTCACCAAGGGAGGCCTCAAGCCGCTCCTCCCTGGTGAGCAAGTGAAAGGCCGTGAAGGGCCCCTTGCACGGAAGGCGAGGCAGGTGTAGTCTGAGGGGGCAGTGGCTTTAGGGACGTGTCATCTCTGGATCCCCAGGCATGAGGCTGTATGGACCCCAACGGTGGTCCCTACCACCTAACCCTAACCCCCCCAAGCCTGGTGGGTCTGCCTGTAGAATTTACATCAGAAGGTTGCAATACAGGCTAAAGGCACGAGCCTGACGCCGCACTCATGCTCCCATGGCTCTGGTCGCTAGGAGTAGGGACACAGCGCATGATCCTTTGGCCAAACATGGATTTTTATATTCGATTTCCCTGATCGGACCCTGCCATTTCAAGGGACAACTGGACGTTTCTGCACTTCCTGCCCTAAGGCAGCGTGTAACATTGCACGCATGTTCCACCCCCGAGGCGGCTGCATTTCAGTAGCAAGCGAGGCGACTCTTCGACTGAGGCACTTTGAAATTCTTGGGCACGGGTGCTATAGAGGTGACAGACTCTTCTCAGCTCAGCCCCTATCTCATGTTCCTACCACCACCCAAGGACTCTGGGGTCGGGGCTGAAAAATGAAGCATCAGCTGGGACTTTCCAGGCTGGATCTCTAGGGGAATGCTATTTAAATGTCTTTCCACCACCACCCTTTCCTTATTTGCTTTTCAAAGAGAATCAAACAGCCCACACCCAGGATTACACCAACTTGCTCTGATGACATTAACAGAGTTGCCCAAGACATTGGCTCATACAATGCTTGCAGTGGGGAAGTTTGTTTCCACACCAATTTTCCAGCTAGCCAGAGACACATTGGGTTTGATTCTTCAATTTGCTACCCGAGTTTTATACTAAGGCCTGAATCCACTGGGCTAGCTAACTTCTTCTGTAAACTGAAGAAGATTCACTGGCTTCAAAGGAGCTAGTTAGCAGTGTTGTCTTCAAATTGTCATTGTCAAGTCCAAGTCGAGTCTCAAGTCTTAATTTAAAAAATGTCAAGTCACTTTTGTACAAGCCATCAATATCGGCATTTTTGGGCAATTTTTTCACCAACTCGATGCAACAAAATTAGCAAGTCTCAAGTCAAGTCTCAAGTCACAAACAATGAACCCGAGTCGAGTCTCAAGTCGAGTCACCTAGGTGACTTCAGTCGGACTTGAGTTCAAGTCGTGGGACTCGAGTCAACAACTCTGCTAGTTAGCCACTTTACAAACAGGACAGCCTTTATCTATATGCAGAATATGCAGCTGTGTAGGGCACCTGAAAATTTGGGGCACTGCTGGGTCTTAATGTCCTCCCACCCCCTCTTCCTGTCTCTGTCCTGTAACTCTGCTTCCTCCAGAGAGGATCTAGTGAATTTAAAAGTGACAAGGCCTGCCAGGCCTATCAGCAGAACACTGAATCTCTGAAAGAGCCATTTGTGTAGTAATGAAGCCATTTAACAGGCATATGCTAACTCTAGTTTCTGAAACCTTCAGGCTCTGAATTTACTGTGTTTAGCTACAGGGTGTTATTTTTAAAGCAAATTTTAAACTATTTCATAAGTGAGTTGGTGAAGATTATACAAATCACACCTCTAAAAAACCATCCTCCCTTCTCTGTCACTGGGCATACGGGTGCCAGTTTGATAGTACTGCGTAGGGCCCCAAAAATCCTAAAGAAGGCCCTGTGCCATTGAGTTGGACTGATGTGATGGAGTGATCAATCTAGGGCTGCCAGATGGTTTCAACAAAAATACCAGACACACTTGACATCACATCACAATCGACATTCCATCTGATTTAGAAAATACCGGACATTTATACTTTCTCATTTCTATTTTCTCAATTTGTTTCCTGAACAGAAAGCTCAAATACTGGACTGTCCGGTTCAAAACCAGACACCTGGCAACCCTAGAGCAATCAGTTCCACAAGTTCTTGGATAAAATCCATCCACTCCCTCCTAGCGCCAGACAGTACAGGGATAAAAAGATTACAATGGAGACTAGGGATGTAAGTGACTAGTCAACTATGCAATAAGCTAGGGCTACTCAAAACGAGAGCCGCGGTCCATTTGTTTGCGGCCCACGGGGCGGTTTGGGTTTACGCAGGGCTCAACACGCGGCTTGCGGGGGGGATCTTTTGAACATGGCCTCCACTGGGAACACGCTCCACAATGGCGAGGCGTCTCCCAGGCGGGGTGAGCATTGAAAGACACAAGCGGACAGGCTGGCAGGAAGAGATGGGTACAAGGTGGCAGCATTTCTAGCCCCCAGGGAGGAAGTGCCGGGGCACTGTGAGGAGTGCTTTTCCCGTCAGTGTGAAAGAAGCTATTTGCATATATTTGCATGTACATGCAAACACACTTAAGTCGAGGCTCTTAGCATGTGCTGTGAATATCATTGTGACCCCCGAGGCTTCCAAAATTAAGAAGTCCTGCAATAAGCCTAGGCTTATCAGGTAGTCAAATCACTATTTGACTACTCGCTTCCCCTTCACACACCTTAGGGGGGAGGAGAAGCAGGAGCCGGTGTTGGGGGGAGTTAGTTT